TGTCAAATGTATTGTGTGCACCGCAATCCGGACCGCAGGGCTTATTTTGTTCGGGGCATACCTTTCTCTCGCCCTTAAATATTTGATATTATTAAATTAGTTTTACAACTATTTTCTTAATCTATGCCAGTAATACCTATTTAGATGACATATTATATTATATTAGTAGTAGACATATTGCGCCGACTCCAAATCAGAGGCAGATGATGAGTGATGAGATGACCTACATCTAAAACCATAGATACTTCCTTACAGTAATAAAATGAAGAAAGACCAAACTTTCCTCTTTCCTACATTCAAAAATACAAGAATAAAATATGAGCAATAGTTATTCCTAAGACATACCGGGTCTTCAGGAGGTTCAGGCGGACATGTTTTGGGATCTTTGTCGGGACGGGGTGCTTTTCTGCCGCAGATACAGTGGTCAGGCCCTTTGGGACAGTTACATTCAGTGTGACCGCCCCAATGCTTGCAAGGTTCCTATAGATACACAAACAATTTGTAGTTTAGTATTGTCAAAAATTAAGAAAAAAATTGCTAACTCAAGAAGTATAGTATAGGTAAAGGGTATTAGTATAAGGGTACCTTTTTAACATTGGTGCCCTTTTCTGATTTAGGCGGAGGTTTTGGTTGTACACCTTTCAAACACAGCATCAGTTGTTTGTAAATATCAGAGTCCAGCTGTAACAGAAGAACTTTATAGATTAGTCTAAACCCTGAATAAAATATCAAAGAAAGAACATTGAAGATTGACATTACACGTACCTCACATCTGGTTTTAACAGCACCTCCTACAATGGTCAAATTCAAATTCTGCTTAACGGATTGAAGCACATACTCCTGTAGCATTTTTCTAGTACGATCGTTCAACTTTGCGTTTGTACTCCTCTTCAAACATTTCAATATTTCACCACCCAGAGCTTTTCCTGCGTTGGTCCTAACTGTCTTCTCTAGAACTGTGGACATATTCTCGAACACATTGTCCAAAAATATCCTCTTCACTTTTGAACATACGCATTCCTCTGCTGGATCTAACTTACATTCTTTGTCTGTCACCTTACATACCCTGTACTCTTGGCATCGTGGACAATCAGTACATAGAGTTCTGAAATCCTTACAGTCTACGCATTGAGTGCACTTTCTACATTTAAGATTGAAATTGGCAATTTCAAGATCTGTTTTCTTTATTTCTTCTGCTATAGTATTTTGTTTGTTAGAACATCTATCTTTACAATGGTCACATGACTTTTTAAGTGCTTCTATTTCTTCTATGAGAGCAATTTTCTGAAAATAAAGCATAACCGTAAGTTTCCTGCCGAGAATCTTACATGTAACGTTTCTTCAGTAAGTATGGCAATTACAACACGGATTCTAAAAAAACCTTCATTTCTTACTTCTGCTTTCAGGTCTTCGGCCTCCAGTCTTCTTTTCAGCAAAGTTTTACAAATCTTTTGTAAGTCTGCTCTAGCGTCTGCTATTAAATTTTTCCCCTTTTCTACTAATTGATTTTTATTTTTTGTCTCTTCTTGTATTTTGTTTTGTAGATTGGTAATCTCTTTGTTGATATTTGCGTATCTTTCCTGCAATATTTTAAATCTGTAAGTCGATTATGTATTGCATTAGGTATTGCACTTTCTTATCACCCAAAGGTTGCCAGGTAGAACTTGCTACCGTTTTCCGAACTTGCTACCATAACCATAATCATCATAACGTATATTAGCATAGCAAGGAGGCCGCCTTGTTTCACTGTTTTCATTTTATATTAGGTACATGTTTTGTATTTGATTACTTCAATTTGTGTGCAATATTATTATTATTACTTACCTTCAAATTCCTATTGGAACGACTTACCTACGTTGGTATAACTGAACAACTTACATCGGCACTTTTCTTTCTCTGGTCCATCAACTTTTTTAAAGTTTCAGTTTCTTTTTTGGTGTTTTCAATTCTTTTTTTATATGCAGCAATATCATTGTCTATTGATTTGAGGTCATTAGTTTTTTGATTTATTTTCTCCATCATTTCCGATTGGCACTTATTAAGAATCCCTATTTGTTCTTCTAAATCTTTTTTATTTTTACGCCACTTTGCTGCACTTTGTTCTATATCTTGTAGCTGAAATAATTTATATTTTCAAGAATACGTTTTAGCACATGAGGAACTTTGAGTTAAATATTTGCCTTTCATATTATAAAGAAAGATGAAACATAAGTTTTTACGTTTTCACGGTTGTTCACAACACTAAAATTATTGTTTGAAACAGGATTATTACCGTGATAATATTTTTGTTGATCTCGATATTTCGGGGCGGTTGCACGCTCCACGGTCACGAGTAGACTGGCTTGGCGAGTGATGTCATCTTTCTAAGGGCAAACATATCTGTCTACCCTCTTTCGGATTCGTCGACTGCGTTCTACATGGTTACTCGAATCACTACTATTGTCACTCACTATTTTGTCACGATCACGACACACCACACTAACAGTATCACATGGTATCACTTCGCGAATTTGAAGTCGAGTGTTTTTTGCGATTGTATACGTTTAATACTGGATTCCACGCACTGGACAGCTTGAAACCATCTTCACGTTTAAAGTTTTTATATTTTGTGATTTCGATGGCTTCTCGCACTAAACGAGGTATATAGTGACATTCCGTTGACAGTACTTGCGGGTTATGTAGTTCAATCCAGTGATTAGTTTCCGCTTGGTTTAGGTGTTCCGCTATGGCTGACTTCTGGGCATCGTTGTTTTTTACAGCTCCCCCGAAAAGCCCCGAAATATCGAGATCAACAAAAATATTATCACGGTAATAATCCTGTTTCAAACAATAATTTTAGTGAAAGATGAAACGTCACATTACTCTGATCAGTGATCACAAACATGAACACTGCAATGGTAGGTACCTACCTGAGTGAACCGAACCGAAGAACTCCACACCAAAAAACTTCAAGGTAAATTACCTACCTACCTACTGGAGCACAGATTGTCAAGAGTGAACTAGTCTCACCTGTCTTATCAAACCTTGTTGCCTTTCACTTGATTGAGCAATTTTTTCTTTGTATGAATTTTCCATATTCAGCCACATCTCATCGGCCTGTTCCATCATCTGAAGACCCTGCTTCTCTTTCGCTTCCAGTTTTGAGATTTGTGATTTTAAATACTTCTCAGCGGCTAACAATTCCTTTAATTTTGCTTGGCATTGGCTGTCGAACGTAGCAGCCTGTTGAAAAACGGTAGAACAACTCGTAAGTAAATTAACATTAACTTTAAGAATTTCCAAAATAACTTGGCTGAAAGAATCGATAATCCAATACAATTAAAATAACAACTTACATTGTTCAAATTAGTCAGAACATGCTTTAAAGGCGGCTTCTCCGGCATTATCGGTCTCGATGACGCGGTAGCTGCCGTAGGACTGGACGGGGAAGACGGCGTACTTGCAAATAAGTTGGGATTTTGGTCCTGTTTCTGCCCGGGCGCTCCAACATTCGACTGGTCTCTGAAAGAAAGTTTAAGGTTGGTACCTAGGTATCTATCTTACGATTAGGGCCAGTCAAGCTCACGTTCGGTTAGGTTATGCACGCGGTAGCGTAATAACGGCCCAAACTGTCTAACCCAGCCAGAGTTTGAGTCTGTGTGCCGTACGTGGCAGTTATAAACTTTGGCTCTACCCACTATTAAGTATATAGGGAGGGTTACATTTAATTAAGTACAAATCTCTTGAGGGTGTGATCTACTCACAAAACTGAACAACTTTTGTTAGAAACTTTTCTTCGAAATATGAAAAAACAATTTGGACCTCCCATACAAAAATGCTGAAAAAGTGTGTCACTTAGTATGGGAGGTCCAATTATGTTTTTCATATTTCAAAGAAAAGTTTCTAACAAAAGTTTTTCAGTTTCATGAGTAGATTATACCCTCAAGAGATTTGTACTTAATTAAATGTAACCGTATATATTCTGTGGCTCTACTTGGGGGTTTTGTGTCTTGTGGTAGCCCTCCAGGTGCAAAACCACTTGACTGGGCTCCGAAAGAAAAAACAAGTAAAACCACAATTTGCTTAACATCTGTAGTGTCAACTCTGTCGACTATTCTAAAACAAGCTGTTCCTTTAAAACCTAGAACTTACGGAAGCTGGGCCATGTAACACTGTAGAACTCGCGGACGAAATAAATATGTTGTCTGTTTTGAGTCATATTTCTCGCTACTTGTTATAGAATCTTGAAAATGATTCTGGACTTCTTCCTGAAACCGTTTTGATACTTATTTAGCTACCAAAGAACGTAGATAAGTAGATAGGTGTGCTATGCTTAACGCGATAGTAATTAATCAAGATCGTGGTAAAATCAACTGCGGGTCATAAGGCCCCCTTCAATCGTGACCATTCACAAGCCTTTCTATGATCATAATCCCTATAATAACTACAACAGCCCTGTGTCTTCCCATCCTCGTCCCTTGCTGTAGGTATATGCCGCACCAAGTTGCCTCAATTGGCAACTGGAGCTTGATTGTAGTGACCTTTACCATCACCAACAACCCTGTTACGACCACTGATGGATAAGTACGTGGAGGTTCCAAAAATCACAGCTTTGGGCCAGCTGCATCAAGGGCTGCATACCAAATTTTTAAAACACTTATAATAAAGTTTTTTAATATAATAAAGTTTTTTATAACAGTAAAGAGAAATGCGCCAAGACATCAATTTTGGGCCTTACATTCACCCGATAAATTGAATACCAAATTAAAACACTGCTGGTTCAAATCCAGCCTGCGGTGAAAATTTTGAAGGTTTGCCTAAATTGTATACTTACCTAACACGGGAAGTGTTTTAAAAATTTGGTATTCAATTTATCGCGAGTTTTCATCGCTTTGGCTACATCCAATCTGTAAAGAATGGATTAGTCTCTGAGAATTAGTTGTAAAACTATCCTAGTAGATGGTTCCCTACCACGCGTTAGTGGTCAAGATGCACTTGCTTAATTAGCGGGCTTGGAGTGAGCCGCTGTAGCCCAGTTGGTAGAGGCGTCGACAGTACAGGTGGCGAAGGTCGCTGGTTCACATCCAGCTTGCGGTGAAAATTTCGCATGTTTTCCTAAATTGTATCAAAGACTCTAGAATGGAAATGTTGAAATTACCTGTAAGTTGCAGGTAGGATCGTCCTTCAGAATGTTCCAGAAATTGCACATCAATCTCAGGCCAGGGTGAGTGAGTTCGGATTGTGAATCGCCTGGCATGTCATCACCTATGTTCGTGACTAGTTCGTCCATCATCTTGTAGCGGTTTTGAAGACATTCTTGTAAGTCCGACATTCTTCTAATCTCTCGTGATCTAATGAACAAAAGCAGTGAAAAACGAATACCTACTAACCCAGGAATTGGTATTTCCAATTTACTTAATCTGTGACACAGCCACTACCTCCTAAACTACTTTTGTTCTGATCATATCAAACTTTTCATTGGACTCTCGAGACTATTTACTAAGTGCTACTGTAACAGCCACAATAGTTTAGTGCTAAGCATGGGCCTCCCCGCATTAGAGGGTCCTTTACCATCGCTACTTACACCATGTTTGGCAGATGGATTGGCAAGCGCAATGTAAGGGTGTTGTTTTCAGTTCAGAGAACGCTACTGCCTATTATCTGGATTCAGCCCTTGCAGCCCAAAATCAACCTATGCAAAAATTCATACTTACAACTTATTTCTAAAGGATACTCTTAGTTTATTTTAATTGTAAAAGTTTACTGGAACATCATACACATGGTTTGTAGCGAAACTACTGAATTTTTTTAATTTTTTATCATGAATTTTTAGGTTTTTTGTTCAGTTTTGAAAACATATCTTCACCGACATTTTGACTGTTTTTGACATTTTAATGCTTTTTTCTCTGCTTCTTTCACTCTGACGGCTCTGACTTTCTTTCATAACATTTTTCTAGCCAGATTTATCGTGTCAAGAAAGAACCAAAAAGTTTATATCTAAGGAAAATTTCCTTTATAGTCCGTCAACTTCGTGCGCGACCCTCCCTAGGGGTGACAGACGTTGGGGAGGGAGATGTCAGCGGGTAGCGGGAGGTGTAGCGGGGAAGGGAGAGGCGCGCATACTCGCCGCACGTCATATTAAAATGACGTGCTTCCTCGCCCCCCTACCGTCTGTACCCCGCAGGAAGGTCGCGCACGAAGTTGACGGACTATAGTAGGGGCAGCATGAACTAACATAATGCAGAAGCATATCCAGCGGGAGCCAGGTTCCAGCTCGTAAGTTCCTTGGCTTTTGCAGCTTGCAGTCACAGAACACTGCCTATCGGTAGTCGCAGACAGACTGACATTTTTCACGAGGCGCCGCTGGTTGCTGAGCGAGGGTGATTCCTCTTGAGGCAGGGCGCCACTGCACTGGGCGTGCTGTGCGTATATTATATGAGAGACGTGTGTCACGCACGATAATTTAATTTCGTATATCTTGTGAAAAATTCGCCCATCATAGACAGTGTGCTGTGCCGTGACTGGCCCTCTGGATGCCTCTGGCTCTGCTGAATATGCTTCTGCAGTTGATGCTGTTCCACTAATGTCCGATTTTCTATTAAACCTAAAATTTAAAGAAAATAAATATGTTAATTAAATTAAGCAATTTTATTTCCATAAACGTTATAGAGAAAAACACTTAGGTAGGTTTCATAATTTTGTGAATTTTATAAATGCACGAGTTGTTTTCTATCTCTAATATAGATACAGTATCCAATCTCTTGCTAGCCTTACTATTTATTTGAACAAAAATTTAAAGACAATTATGCAACACTAGGTTGAAAAAGAGTAGATAAACAATGTAGCATAACATAAATGCAAAAGCACCATTTGAAAACTGTTAAATCTAAATGGTTGATATTTTGTTGAAAATATAGATGTTTGAAAAAAAGCCATAGGGTAAATGAGGTGGCTAATTTACACCTTTTCAAACATTCCAACCAAATAAAATAATAATAGACTGGTGTATGGTCATCTCATATTGGCAGACACATGATAAAATTAAGAAAATTAAATACAAAAATAAATTAACTGGATGCTTTAGCTGCTTGGCGTCTCTTCACATCCCAATTGTAAACTCTAGCCATATTCACTTCTGTTGTGGTCCATTGATCCCTGAAAAAACAAACATAAATATGGATTCCACTATTTTTAATAGGTGACTGTATGAGAAGTCACACCCACTTAGCCATCATGTCATTAATGAATTAGCTACAATCTTGGTAATGTGGTGGTGTAATTTTATTTTATTCTTATATAAAACTGCTTGAGTGTTTACTAGCTTTATGTGGTTGCAGCCCTTGGGCCTTGTATGGTTTAGTTATTTTTCTACAATAAAAAGGAGGATTTCTCCCTTTTTGCCACCTTTATTTGTGCCAGATATATTAAAATTATCAGTAAGTAGTTTAAATATGTTTAAATGTAGCAGACAAACTAAAGTTACTTCCAAATATAATCTTAGAGTAGATTACCTTAAAAAGTCAAGATCATGCTCCACACAGTCGAGATTCTTCTTAGCAGTGGCCATGTTCTGGGTAAGGAGCTTCTCAGCATCTTCTAAAGTATACTCCAGCATCACATTGGCTCCTAACCATAAGCAGACTGTTTTTGTTGGTGGTACATTTGCCTGAAAAAGGAAGAACAAAGAATACTATTAGACAGAAGTATCTAATCCAGTGAATTTTGTTTAATTCTGCGACCCTAAGAAAAGCAGCTGTGGGACATTTAAACCATGAACTATCAATTTTCCAATAAAATTATTATTTTTGGGTTGCATTACTAACTTATCACACTACCAATTAAAAGGAGAAAATACAAAGTCAAACAAGTGGAACAGAGAAGATGCATTTGGGGTGAAAGAGAGTTTTTTTATGCAAACCAATGTTACCAATTATTTCCATCTGTCTAGCCACGCATACCAAACTGGCAATTCAATCCCAGAGCTTTTGAGAATGTATGTATTTCAGAATCCAGGAATCGTGTTTCCTGATACAACACATGTGGTTACCTTCACAAACACTTGATCGCTGAGCAAAAACTGGGTTTCCATTTCTTCTTTCTGTGATTTTAGTTTGTCAATCATTTCCAGAGAGCGGGCCAGGTCAGGGATCTGTTGACGCAGGCGCCTCCTCTTCGTGGCGAGGGTATATTCCATGAACTTGTATTTGCCATGCTGCTCATCAAGTCTACGAAGTACTTTGTCGACACCCCCAGTATTTTCAGGTTGGGCCATAAATTCGTCAACATTATCCTGCAAAATTGACGAAAATAATCGGTTACCGTACAGAAACCACGCAGACAAAGTATTATAGCAGGAAGGATCAAATATCTAAGTGTAAAAGCAGATAATCAGAACAGATGTACATAAACGGACATAACCTACAAAGTGAGTTCATGAACAGAACTTGACTCTCCGACCTAATATACGGTTACAATGCGAGTTTGTTCAATAGAATAACAAATATATAAGTGTTTATTACTCAGAACTTACTACAAATTGAGCCTCCGGTATTCCTGAGTATGACTGAGGATTGGCAGCATCACCCTTATCGCCATCCATTATTGCTGTTTATTGGATTTTATTTGTGATGAATTACAAACTTATTGTTTTATTTTGCGAAGCGAAATGGATTCTGTAGTAATAATTATTAATTTTACAACAAATTAGAATCAGAAACGAACGACGGAGCCGAAAATAGATTGTTGTTTTAAAAATTCATCCATCAGGATAGGCAATGGTACTAGCCATACAGCCTAGTCTTTTATTAGTTCTTTCTGTTATCTTTTCAAAAATAAGGCATTAAATGCCAATTCTTCTATAGTTCATTTCTTATTTCCAATAAAAACAAGGCAAAAATGCCATTTCTTCTATATATTCTTGTGTAATTTTCAGGTTCTTAAAATTCCATGTCCGGGTTAAATCCATGTCAAAGCTCTCCAACCGTGGAGTTAATAAAGTCAAATATTGGATTAAAAGTGGCAGGGTTCGATAGAAGTTCTTGAAGCGAAGGCGGGATACTGTCTTTGTAAATATCTTGCAGCTTGTCAATTAATAAAATTCGGTTAATATTTAAAGCGGGACAGTTGAAAAATATGTGTTCCAGCGTTTGATTTTCATTTAGAGAGCAATCTGTACATAAAGGTGAGTTAATAATTTTCATGCGGTGTAGATGGGCTTTAAATTTACAATGACCAAATCGTAACCTGCATATTTGTGTGAAGAATCTTCTTTTAATAAAGGTATTATTCTTAGCGAACCAGGGTTTCTCTCCAAGATTCTTATTGATTGCAGCATACCATGCACCTTTTTCTTGTATTATAATTTGACGTTGATTTATCCAGCTTTGTCTAATTTCCTCTTGAATCAATGGGATTAAATCTCTCCACGGAACCGACATTCTTCTGGGTTGTCCAATTAAGCTATTGTTTATTGTTCTGGCAAGGTAGTCAGCTGTTTCATTACCTGACACACCTTTATGTGCTGGAGACCATAAAAATTCAATTGAAACATTGGCGTTGTATAGTGTTTGCCACAGCTGTTTAATTTTATAAATAATATAATTTGTACTCAGAGTGTTATTCTTTAAAGCTGATAAAACTGACATACTGTCACTAATAATAAGCCATTTAGGGAAAGAGTGATTTAAATTGTTTATATATTCTAAAGCAGCTTGAATTGCTGCAGCTTCTGCCGTAAATATACTGCAGGTTTTTGGTAGTTTATATCCATTTCCTGTCTTCAAGGCACTGTGATAGTATGCAAGAGAGACACCTGTATCAGTTTTTGAGCCATCAGTGTAAATATGCTGGTATTGTGGCCATAATGATAGTTTCTCATATAGCTCTTCTCTAGTTCTAATGGAGTTATCTATAACTATATTCATATTGCAAAATTTGCTTTCAAAAGCTCCTTCGTAACATGCCAACTTGTCAGATTTGTGAATGTTATGCCTTTCATTATAAACTTTTATTTCAGAATAATCAAGCAGAATAAAGAGGAATTTAATTGAAGTAGATGCAGAGGCCAAAGTTTGATTTTCAGCAATTTTCTCTAATAA